TTTTGGCACCACTTAAGAAAGCTACATTGTAACATAAGAAAAAGATGTAGAAATAAATTGCAAATGTAACGTTAAGTTATTTGACTTAAATACGAAGTCAGTGATATAAGTATTACGTAGAGGATTAGTTCATTTCAAATTAATCTAATCAGAACCGATTTTCTACATACCGATATCAAAGGTAACAAAAATTAAAAACTTGAAAGTAAATGGAGTTTTTAGGTAGTAATGGAATGGAATGATTACTTTTATGTAATTAACTATAATTGACCAAACTTCTAGCTGAAAATCAAAGAAAAGACCAACAAGTTATTTAGAAAAGACTAACACTTTTAGTTTTCTCGAAAGAGTAAGAACGATTGTTTAAGAAAATGTTCAGTGGATTTCTTAAAAAATCTGTAATTATTGTAGAATATATTTTTGGATATTTGGATAAAGATCTATTAAAAAATCTACGAAACAAACCTCCTAACAGGTAGATAAGTCATAAAGAACAAAAAAATCATGGATATCAAAACGCCTTTAAGTACAAAGTGCATTTGCACTTGACGCGTCTCTGATCTCAATAGATGCACAGACAAACGACAATTTATCTATATATGTATATCGTCGTTTTCTTTTTATTACCGTAAGAGAGAGACAGAGAATATAGTGTTTTAGCGTGTCGATAGTTATCTACTATCTATCCCTCTCTTGATTTCTATACAAGCAAGTGACAGCCATATGTATGTATATATGTATGTATAAACAATTGTCTTTGTCTGTACGTACGTGCGAAACGTGAGGGTGTTTAAATAATTGCAGCTCCACACAAAACCTGCGTTTAAGTGGTTGAATGACAAATTAAAAATGGAAAATGTGCAGTTTTTATACGAACATGATACATATTGTGTCATTGGGGGTTTCAATTAACATATGGACGCATATAATAACAAAAGATTTATAAAAACCCATTCAGAATTGCATGATTGTAATAAACTCGCTACATGTTTTTGTTTTGCTTGATTCAAACTAAAATTTATTATTTTTAACTAGGTATTAAATAATTTATATTACTATTATATTTTTATTTCTGTTCATATTAATCTAAATTATATACATGGTTTTCACATTGAGTTTTTCCTTTATACGAGTAAAATCAAGGCCTATATTACAAACCCAAAATCAACTCTATTTTGTTTTTATGGCAACACCGATTTCGATGGATTTCATAAAATCAATCTCTAAAAGAGTATTATTGGGTGTTTTTTTTAATATTTTAATTTTATCTATACAGATAAAAAAATTGAAGTGTCTGTTTGTAATGTCAAAATAACAGATTTCTACTAAATGCATTTTAAATTATATACGGTACTTATAATAAAAACATTTTTTTAAGTTCATTTTTTTTCAGTTGGAGTAATTTTGATGGGATTTTCCTTGGCAGATAGCTAATGTTATAATAATAAATTAGACTACTTTTATTTGAAAAAAAAAATAGGGTTGCGTTCACATAAATTGAAACGTACTAAGGACGCATCCGAGCCAAGCGAGGGTAAGTCGCTAGTCTATACTAATCTATACTAATATTATAAAGAGAAAAGATTTTTTGTTTGTTTGTTTGTACCGAATAAACTCCGAAAGTATTGGACTGATTTAGATGAAATTTGGTAAGAAGATAGTTTGAGACACTGGGAAGGACATAAGATAGTTTTTATCCCGGAAATCTTCCTTTAAAGCGGCTAAAATAGGAATGAAAGTTTACATGGGGTCAACCTATGCTAGTAAATAAATAATAATAAACTATTCAAATTGATTATCAATTCGTCATAAGATTAAAGTAAGCTCAAATCCAAACCCAGTTATCGTCTTATCCATTAGAATCCTATAAAACCATTATTACACAAGAAGATTATTTATAGAAACTATCTAACTACACCTATAAATCAGTCAGCATTGCGTGAAAACGAATTATTAGGGGCAAATGCAATTTTCCCGGCCAAGGCACTAATATGTCTCCAGGACCGAGTAGCAAATGAATAAAAATCAACCGAATAGACGCGGCAGTTTGTTAGAGAGTGTGGTGTGGGCCGTGGGGTACCCCATGCCCCCTGTTGCAATCCACGGTTAATGTATGAATAAGTCTAAAATAACTAAGAAAAAGATATTTTTTATTTAGCAAAGCTAGTTTTAGGAACGGCGTAGTGGAAATATAGGATGGGTAAGTTATTGAGTGTGATATCATAATTTCGAAATCTATATGTATTTCGAAACTGCTATTCACAGTACTTTACATTAGGTACTATTAAATGCAAAGTTTGTTGAAAAGTTTGAAAAGTTTTAAGTATGTATCTTTGTCATCCTGTAATTGCTAAACGGATTCGGATGAAATTTAATACATTGTTAGATAGACAGATAGATAGATATACTGTCGCCAAGATAAGCTACTTGTTGTATATATAATTAACTCCTGATAATCAAGAATTAATATGAAATAACCTATTAACATATGTATACGCATTTATTGAACTCACCTATTTCTCATTCATCTTAGATCTTATATATACTTTTACTTTTGGCTAGAAAAAGGGAGGTGCTATTCTATGCCGGTTATCTGAGCAATACACAGCAAGACTGTTTGAAAAATATTAAATGCTAATGTCAGATTTACATCCTTCGTGCACCACGCATGTGACGAATTGCTAATTTCCGATGTTGCTTTATAAATTATTGTTGAACTAGCAGAACTCGCGGATTCGCTCGCACCAAAACTACAAAAAAACTCTAAAATGTTAGGTTTCATACAAACTTTCATCCGCTATTTTACCCCCTTATGGGGTGAATTTTGGAAAATGCTAAAACACGTATTATATTGATTGTATTGAAGAGCATTTAAACCAAGTTTGAAGTAATTCTAATCATGAATATTTTTTTGGATTATATTATAACGTGTTTTCCCGTGGGGAAGAGATAATTTCCTGCGGTAAAGTAGCCTATGTCACTCGCCAGCCCTCCAACTATGTCCACACAAAAAATCACGCCAATCTGCCAAGCCGTTTCGACGTGAAAGAAAGATAACAAACACACTTTCACATTTATAATATTAATATGGATTAACAATAAACTTATATTTTGTTTAATTTGCATTGTATTTGAGTTTGTGAGTACAAATTATTTAAATTGATTAAAGATTTATCACATCATGTTCATGCCCACTAAGTACCCTATAGATAATTCCGATGTTAGCCACCCTGAGTAATAAAATAAGTGGGCAAAGCAGGGAAATAAATAAAACATAAAAAGCATTAAACTAATATTATAAATGTAAAATTTGATAGTTTAAAGGATTTGATGGGAATTTAGATTTAATAATGCTAATCTCGGTTTAGCCCCAATACTACTTCTTATCGACGTATCTATCACGTGGACGAAATAGTGGGTAAAACTAACAAATTATATTTCATGAGTTGATTGGTAAAACTAATCATCCCCAACTAAGTACAGACGGGAGGCAAGGACTCACCGCTCAACTTGAGTCTCTAGCTTTGAAATGAGAAAAGTTTCAAACGAAATGCTGACGAGTCAATATTAACTATAAACCTACAAACCTAAAACTGTCGGAAACCTAACCATAGGATAATAACTCTTAGTGCTTTGAAATACGAGCTAGGTAATTAGATTTTTTATTTCCGTGGCCGCAAGTTAGGTTGGCGCTGAATACCGCTTTCCGATGAAGTTTTTTCTAATAAGGTCTGTCTATATGGCTCTATTATAACTAAATGTTTTGAAATGCACTTTCTGGTGCAAAATTGTGAATTTTTCCATTAAAGCTCTTTATTGGTTATTTTTAGCTTTAGTTTTATATTTTTACGTTTTAACATTTAGTATAGATTTCTCAGAGATGAGATATTTCCCCGTATTAAAAAGTATCCTATACGTTGACCCGCAAAACCAGAGAAATCTGTCCAATGGTTTTCTCGTGATGCGTTCTCAAAGAGACAGATAGACAGACAAGAATTCTAAAAACTATAGATTCGGCCTCTGTATCGATAATAATGACTATTTAAATAAGATTTTCTCAGTTACTATTTTATTATATGTTTAGATGTAGATTAGTATTTTATGTAACGAAATATTTGCAGGAGCAATTCTCTAAATTAATGTTAGTGGGTATTTTTTCAAAGTTAGGAATCTAAACTATCTATTTGAAAGTTTTTATTAAGAAAAGTATTCAACCCTTTTTAACGTCCCACTGCTGGGCACGGGCCTCCCTTCAATACGAGGGGGATCAGGCCATAGTCAACCACGCTGGCCAAGTGCGGATTGGCGGACTTCACATGTTTTCCGAAAACTTGCTAGGTTCTCTCAGACGTGCAGGTTTCTCCACGATGTTTTCCTTCACCGTAAAGCAAGTGGTAATCATGTTAGAAATGATTCGCACATGAAAATATCAGAGGTGCAAAGATCCGGAATTTGAACCCGCTTCACTCGGTTTCCCAAGCGAGCGCGTTACCACTGGGCTGCCACTGCCTATATTAAGAAAAGTAGTATAATAAAAAATAAATATGAAGAAGTACGGATTTTTTTATCTATCAATCTTATCTCTTATCTCTGTTCAGATAAAATAGCGACTTCATCTTATAGTGGTGCTGTTATTACATGTATGTACTTTATAATTTAGTTAATATCGACTTAGAAAATGTCATTGAAATAAAACATTGTGCAATCTGTATTAACTACTAACTTTACTACTTTTTGCCCGCGGCTCTTTGTAGGTACTTCAATACTCAGGTATGTATCTATACAAGATATAGGTTATTTCGATTCTGCTTATCTCTAAAATTCTCTAAGATGTGAATCTCAAATTTTCGCCCTTATAATAAATATTAGCATGACAATATTACCAATGTGTTCCTGACAAACCACTTTTAATGCCAAAATTTTAATAAAGTTACAAAATAGATAAGTATTTAATCATTATTAATATTAAAAATAAAAAATAATAATAATAATAAATAAATATGTTGGGACATTATTACACAGCACCATCTAGTTCCATGGTAAGCTACGAGGCTTGTGTTATGGATACCAGATAGTTGATAACTACACAAATAATGACTGGATATACATAAAAAATGACTGGAGTACACACATTCGTGCTCATCATTAAAATGAATGCCCTCAGCTGGACTCGAACCCGCGACCGCTGGCACAGCAAGAAGGGTCACTACAACACGCGTATCTGAGAGAACCTAACTGGTTTTTGTGACGTGTAAAGTCGGCCAATTTGCATTAGGCCACCGTGATAGACTATGGCCTAATCCCCTCGCATTAATGGGAGACCCGTGCCCTGCAATGGATTGTTGTTTGTATACAAAGTCACGGTACGTTAAAGGACTTATGGAAATGAACAAAAAATGTAATGAATAAAAACTTAAAAAACCGACTTCCAGGCACTAAAATGTAAAAAATAACTGAACGGAGGTTTTCATTTCGAATAGATACATACCCAGATATTTTCGAAATCGGTGCCAGCCGATGCAGTAAAATATTTATATCTTAAAATATTGTAGGCTGGCACTGACTAAGCAAGTAATTAGTGAAAAAAAGTTTTTTAATAACATATTCGATTAAGTAATTTATTTAAAAAATATATTTATTGTTGATTTTTTTTAAAACCACTTTACCGATTTCGATAAAATTTATATGGGACCACCTGGGAAGTATACTCTTTGAAACAAAAAAAATTCCAAATCGGTTCAGTCGTCTTCGAGTAATCGGTACATACATAAAAAAAATTCCGACGAATTGAGAACCTCCACCTTTTTGGAAATCGGTTAAAAAGAAAACATAATATTTTGGTTGAAACGTATTACGCTGTGTTCAATACATATTAGATTCTATAATATTTACTGGCGGATCTCCTTGGTTAACTTTTCATGAATTGTCATTATTATTAATCTTTGAATAGACATTGTTTCATATTCATCTAAAGCCTACATTAGCTTAGCCTATTGAATGCCCATAAGATCACGTCTTTGTTAAAGGATAATGTGAACAATACACCAACGTCTTATTGTTGCCCCCTGACCGACGTGGCCCATATATTCCTGCTATTATGAATATTATTGACTCATGGACCGCAAGAATGGAAATTAATTTGTTAAAATGGCACTCTTATTCAATTTTTCTTTAAAGTTAAAGATTTCTAAAAAAAATTCTACCACAAATGATACCACATATAATGTTTATTTGTACTAACATCATTATAAGTTGCTATTTTCTGCCAGAAATTATGAAGTTATAAGTTAAAAAATTATTATCTTACATAATGAATGTAAATTCAAAAAAAAATCTTAAAAACCTTATTTCTTTACCGTATCTTTAGTGATTAAAAGTTAAGCACATAGACGTTTGTTCTTATCGGATAAAAAACTGCATTTTCAAGTCACTAGACTAGATAATTGTTACCATGTACTACTGTATTATAAAAATCGAGGTATCAACTAATAAAATCACCTTAAGATCTTAACTTAACAATTATTTACAAAAATTACATCATATTTGACGCTTGCCATATTATGATTTTTATCAATGAATAAAATAAGGAACTTAGTTTTTCAATATTATTTAATAGAATCCCAGAGGATAAAGGATTAGAGGGCGTTTAAAGTGGGTATTTAGAGTAGAAGTGCTATTTTTTTAGTATTCTGTACCTAAAGAGGTTATATGGAGTCCTCCCTCGCTTGCCTACCTACATCAATCCAACCTATATCTGTAACAATACCATATCCTGTGACAATTGCAACCTTTTAGGCTACCTATTACACTCTATAAAATAAAATGGACTCCTCTATAGGTGGACAGACGTAGGTACAGGCAAATGAAGGAGGTTTCCATCTAGCCCCTTTGGGTATAAAATACTAAAAATAGCCATTCTAATATAAATATCTACTTTCAACGCCACTTCGTTCAGAGACGAACTGCCGTATTTCGTTGACCGTGTGTAACGCTTTCAATCCAACAATTAAGATTCCTTAGCTCATTCTAATTACACCTATGCGGGTTTCTTAATGAAGTTAAAGGGAATTAATTATTTTAGGGGCTATAAATTTAATCTGCGCCGGCCTTTACTTATGATGTTTGGACGTTGAGTTGATTAAATGTTATCTTTGTTTTGCAATCTTAGTACCGCAGTTGTTGTTTGAGGTATATATTGGAAAACAAATTTATCGAACGAAAAACATACGAAGCAAACGCAAATTTTTATTATGTAAAAGTATCGATAAAAATGTGTCACTTTAAAATTAAATTTTCGCCAGGATTTTACAACAAACTTAGTATCTACATAAATAAGAAATATAGACAATATGAAAATGTATGATTTACAAAAAATGTAGTTGTTCTTCATAACTCTAAAGAAAGAAATATTTAAATAGAATATTAAGTATGTAAAAATGACAGTGATGATTTTTTTAATTGAATTCTTAGTAGATTACTTAATATTTTTAAAACTTCTTATAAGTATAGGGTAAAACCCGGATAGTCGCCCCAGTTGGATACATGCCCCGGTTGTCAATACGCTGTATTAGAGATGTCCCTGATGTTAGCGCTCTTCTGTAATTTGAAGCGCCTCTTCCACAGACCTTAGGACGATGCCAGTAGTGGGACTAGGTAAACGTGTTTTGTTCGTGTGAGCGAAAATCTTCCGCGGCAGGACGTTGATGAGCGTTGAAATTATGTTCGTGTGTATTTTCTATTGAATATTTTTTTTTACAGTTGTCGATTCAGTCAACTTTTTGCTTCTACGCGTGTACTGAAGCTTAAGTTACACTACCTATTACCTTTAACTGTCGAATAACATTTATTTATTTTTAAAATATAAGGGCAAGTATACGTATCGAAAAGAATAGTCGCCCCATATAATTTTGCGGATGGTTGCCCTAAGAACAATTAGTGTTGTAGGTAGGCGAAAAACAAGATAAAGAAGAAGAAACAAACATTAAAAAAAGAAATAGAATGGAGACAACGAAATAAAGAGATTTTAAGGCAGTAGAAAATAAATCAGCTGATAACGAGATGATAATTATGGAGAAAAGAGGTCGAAACGAAAGTAAAAGATCAAAAGTTATGATTTCTCTCGCAGTGAAGCAGAATTTGAAAACATAGATTTAATTAATCTGAGCGGAGAAAGAGCTTTAAGGATGACAAATATCAAACTTATAGCTCTGTGAGTGAAAATGAAAAAAGCATTATAAATACAAAAATAGCCAAAGAAAAAGCTACTAAAGGAGTACAAAAAAAGAAGTAAGAAATTAAAGACAATAAGATAGACAGTAAAAGTTATTAACATTAATACAAAAATAAAAAAAGCGAATGATAAAGTTTCAGTTGATGATTATTGTAAATGTTTTAAAAATTACAATAATACTTAATCCAAATTATACTTGATTGTATTTCCAGGGAACTCGTTCATCATTCAAAGAATATTGTGTGAGATGTGGAAAATTAAAAGTTATGACTCCATAATTGATGATGATTTTTAAACTACTTTTGGTGTTATATAATTATTAATTATTATTTATAACTTAAATTTAGGAGATTTTATTTGTATTTTAAAAGTTGTATTAAGTCGATTAGTAAATATTTACTACTGAATTAATTGATGTTAATAATTAATAATGGTTCATTAAAATTACATAAATTCGTTTTAATCCAAAAAAAAATTGCAACAATTTCATGATGAGTCTTCTATCCCCGCATGAGGCAAGTATCCCCCAAAGCATTTCGAACATAAGGCAACTATCCGCCACAGAGGGCAACTATCCCCTTTTGTAGAGGTCAAATAAAACAGGATTTACTGGAAAACAATATTCATTGTCTTTAAAAAAATAGGTCACAATGAAAGATTAAAGACCAATGTTTTATTATATACGGGGCATATTGTAAGTAGATACTTATTTTTTATGTAATTTTATGGAGATTTTCAAAAAGTAGGGCAACTATCCGGCTTTTACCCTAGTTAAACTTTTTAATTAGTAAAATGACCCTGGGTGCAATGATAAGCTACAAAAATAAAGATTGTAAAATATTACGAAATAGATTAGGATTATTAAATAAAAATGTTGAAACTGAGATAGCTATGAAGATATGATAGCTTCATATGGTATAAATACTAAAATTACGATATTTTTCATTTCAGTTCAGAACGTGATAGTAAGAATGAGTTTCGCAAATAAAGTGGTTCTCGTAACTGGAGCAAGTTCTGGAATAGGGGCTGCTACAGCCATACTATTCGCTATTCGTCGGTAGAAATCAAGAAAAGTTACAAAATGTGCTCAAAAAGTGTGACGCAAGTGGTAGCAAAAATTTAGTTATATCTGCAGATATAACAAAAGAAAATGATGGAAAAAGAATAATCGAAGAAACTATCGATAAATTCGGAAAACTCGATGTCCTTATCAATAATGCTGGTATTATTAGTTTTGTTTGTGTCGCCGAAGAAAATGTTATGGAAGTTTATGATTCAACAATAAATACTAACTTGCGAGCACATGTATACTTAACCCATTTGGCTATTCCTTACTTGATTAAAACTAAAGGAAACATAATTTACATATCCAGTGTAGCAGCTACCTTGCCACCTGTCGCGCCAAATTTAACTATTTACGGCGTTTCTAAAGCTGCTCTTAATCAATTCGCTAAAGGCGTTGCAGCAGAATTGGCTCCTCAAGGTGTTAGAGCAAATATAGTTAGCCCTGGTCCTGTAAAAACTGACATCATGAATAATGCTGGAGTGGATATAGAGTTAGATGAAACCAACTTTAAGACTCCACTAGGGAGGATATCAGATCCTGAGGAAATTGCCGATCTCATTGTATATCTTGTAAGTGAGAAAGCCAAAGCCATTACGGGATCTGAATATGTATGTGACAATGGATTTAAACTAAAATTTTAATTTTTTACTTATTTATTAGTTAAATTGAAAAATAAAAGTTAAGTACATTTAGGTTTCTAGGATTATAATATGTATTAAGTACTAAATGATTTTATTATAAATATATGTACGAGTAGTTATTGTTAAAATAAAAATATATATTTAAATCGTTTACTTTCATTTTCTTAATTTATTGCACTATAGGCCACTCTTCATTCATTCATACTTAGCACCCTTCACGTCCATCATTATTAGTAGTAGTAATCGATATCAAAGTAAACTCTTGATGTGTGGCTCCACGGTGAAACTAGGATCGTAAATTTCACAGTCCTTTAAGACTAGGTCGTTATTTAATTAGTATGTCGTACCAGCATCGACTATCACAGCCGAAACGTGGACACCATAGTACTGGAACATAATCATACCATCATAAAATTCAAGTTTGCTTAATACCATCGTAAGCAATGGTAACTGCGAAACTTGGCATTTTTCTGGCTGAGAGAATTCGAAATGAATTCATTCGCCAGAATGCTAAGGTAACCGAAATCACGCGTAAAATTAGCATGCTGGAATAGACCGAGAATGTCTTCAGATATATAGATGATCGATGGAGCTGACACATGTCAGAGTGGAGACTACGTTAGCCAAACGAATACCTCGCAGCACGACGGACTGGCGATGGAGGGGATAGAGGTGGGCTGTCCAGGACATTGGTTGATGCTCATTACACAAGACCTAAGCTGATTAGCTGTGGATGGCGATAGGCTTATAACATTCCCTTAATAATGAAATACGTGTGTGTTTTTAAATTAACTAAGAAAAGCAAAATACTACATTTAATTGGATGAGGCATAGAAACTTTTTTATGTGAAAGTTTACTCTAAACAAAGCATTAAAAAGTTCATGAACTACAGCAGAGATGGACAAAAGTTACGAGTGTATATAGAATGAAAATTAATACTTCACTTATATGTACTTAATCATATGATAATAAGATCACTTATATGTATTTTTAAGTAAAATGATATATGGTGTATTAATCATAAATAATAAAAATCTTTTTGTCTCTCCAACCTAATATAGAGCAAATTGACAATCAAGTTTATAAGTTTAGTTGTCACGTTATAATTCGATTTATAAAATGTATGTATGTACATACATACATATATATATCTATAATATTTTTCATAATCATACAGATATAAACAAACATACAAATAATTGTAAACTCATTCAAGTAGTAAGAAAATTAAAAATATTTTATTTCTTCATAAAATCTGTTTCTTCCACTTGCGCTTTTCTGATAACAAACCTACAAAATACATATATAAATAAACATAAAAAGCAATACCTATTTAAATACAAAATTTGAAACAAATCGTTACAGCCATTCCCGAGATACACAAGTTTAAATATACAAGAATGGCTCATTTAATATTAAATAAGATAAACATATAGATAGTTGAACAGATAATATTATCTGTTAATATAAAATAAAATGTTGGTAGCATTTAATTATAATTTCATTTATCTTGTAACATAGTAAACATGAGTTTCTTGAATAAAGTAGTTATAGTGACTGGAGCTAGTTCTGGTATAGGAGCAGCTACAGCTATTCTTTTTGCTAAGGAAGGAGCTAATGTGGTATTGGTGGGTCGAAACGTGGAAAAATTACAAAATGTTTATGAAAAGTGCGTTAAATTTGGTAACAAATCCATTCAAATCAGAGCCGATATAAGCAACGACGAAGACGCTAAAAGGATAATTGAAAAAACAATTGAAATATTCGGAAAACTTGATGTCCTTATCAATAATGCTGGATTGGTCCGTTTCGCGAAAATTGAAGATGACGACATTATGGAAGTTTTCGATACAATTTTAAATACAAATTTACGGGCTCAAGTGCATTTAACACATTTAGCTATTCCATATTTGATTAAAACGAAAGGAAATATCGTTAATGTATCCAGCATATCAGGTACCTTACCTCCAGCGACGAAAATGATTGCTTATGGCACATCTAAAGCTGCCCTAAACCACTTTACCAGAGGTGCTGCAGCAGAATTTGCAGCGCATGGTGTACGAGTAAACACAGTAAGCCCTGGTCCAGTTAAAACTGATGTTTTATTAAACGCTGGTATAAGTGATCCTCTAGAGAAACTATATCCTACACCGTTGCAAAGAATCTCGGAACCACATGAAATTGGTGATCTTATTCTATTTCTGGCAAGCGATAAGGCTCGGGCTATCACTGGATCTGAATTTGTGTCTGATAATGGGTACATGTTAAAACGTTAACGTAATAGTTAGAAGATTAAATATATTTATTTCTATAAAATATATTTCTTTTATTTCGTCACAATTTATTTTAAGAGCTTCAATTATTTTATTTGCTACTTGTATTCAAAATTACTTTCGAGGTAACCTATATCTATATACTATAATAAAACAGTAGAGGTCGAACGTCTGTACATAGCAAAAAAATGCAAAAAACCGAGTCAGGATGTAAGAAGACAAATAGAACAAATCCAGATTTTTTTCAATTTTTTGTTTCTCTGTCTGTCTGTTTGTACGGGCTAATCTCCGACCGATTTAAATTAAATTTTGCATGGTGGTACCTTGTATCCCCGGGCAACATCTTAAATACTTTTTATCCCGGAAAATTAAATAGTTCCCGTGGAATAGTTAAAAACTATAGTATCTTATACAGCTTAGTACACAACAACTTATGCACCTAATTTAGTACAATTTTATATTCTAATACCTTATATTGCCGGTCAAAAAGCAGGTTACTTTTTATCCCGAAAAAATGAACGATTCCCGTGGGAACTAATAGATCTCTATTAGTGTTTTTCTAGAACCCGGATTTTTGTCTAGTAGATAAATAAAATTGTTATGAATGTGATAAGAACTTCTTCGTCTGGTCAATGATTGTATGAAATTGTCGATGTACTGTATAATGTATTGCAATAAATATATTTTTTGAGATTTAAATATTTGTTTAAGTAAATAAAATAAAAATAGCGTTAACTTGACTGACAAATATGATACTTAGCTTAAATACTTAGTTACATATTATGTTTTAGTACTTAGTTTATACCTCGCTTCGCTTGGGATCGTCCGTAGTTACGTTTTAACATTTAGTATAGATTTCTCAGAGATAAGATATTTTTCCGCAGTAAAAAGTATTCTATATGTTATACCCGGATAACCAGCTATCATCATGGCAAATTTCATCAAAATCTTTCCAATGGTTTTCTCGTGATGCGTTCCCAAACAGACAGACAGACAAAAATTTTAAAAACTATAGATTCGGCTTTTGTATCGGTTATAATGATTAATGACTATTTCAATAAGATTTTACAAAAAATATTTAATGTACAGATTTGAGTAAGAATTTTATTTTATGTATAGATTCCATATTTTTACTAAGTACACATTTTAATTGATAAGATAAACTTATCTAACCTTATTTTAATTAGAATTTGATAGAAAGGTTTGTTAGTTTAGCGCAAATGTGACGTTAAAAACTATAAAAATAATATGGAACCATCCACAATTGTTAGAAGCGGTTATATAATTTAGTTAACATATTATTTTTTAAGGCAACAACACTAGAATGATGCGACAGTCATGTTATTAAGATTTTTCTTTAATAAAAATACGTTTTCGATTAAAACACACAAAAAAATAGAGTTTCAGGATATTGACAAACAAAATTCATTCGGCCTTCTTAAATGCCAATTAACACGCATTCACCTAAATCATCTACAAATAATTTTAAAATTTATTTTTGTATTGTTTAATTTTAAAACTAATGTTGATGTTGTATAGCTGCATTGTTGTATTATTATTACATAGTATTAAACAATAATTGGTTTTTGGATGACTATTTCCTTTTTAGTAGGTACTTATTTAACGCAGCAATTGTTTTATTTTTTTGTTTACAAAATAACTAGTCTCTTATAATGAGTTATATAATAGCTTATAAAGGCTAACGTAAATTACAGCCATTATGAGGCGTAGCGAATTGAAATGCAAAATTGTAATAAACACGTCTGTCAGCCACAACGACATAATCAAGTCAGTTACCTGTTGACATTAAGTCAGTTCAATACAATAGATAGTTCCAACGAAGAATGGTATTTATTAAATGTTATTTGACGAAGTAATAAAAAAAAGGAACCGTGGTATATGCGTAGTAGCTAGTGAACACGTCACAGCTCACCCCACTCTTAGTGCGCATATCTTATAAGTACATTCCTACTGTTAAAGTAGTCATAACATAATATATAATCTACTTCGTTTTATTTTTTACTAGTTTACATTTGCACGTCACGGCATCGAGATGAGTTTTAATAACAAAGTCGTAATAGTTACTGGTGCAAGTTCCGGTATAGGAGCTTCCACAGCTGTTTTGTTTTCTAAAGAGCAAGCCAACGTGGTGATAGTTGGGAGAAATGAAGAAAAACTGAAGACGGTTGCAGCACAATGTGAGGAAGTAGGAAATAAGCCTCTCGTGATCAAAGCAGACGTATCAGTGGATAAGGATGCAAATACTATTATAAACAAAACTATCGAAAAATTTGGTAAAATAGATATTCTGATTAATAACGCTGGATTTATTCGCATGGGAAGTATTTTGGATGGAAGCTTTTTAGATATCTACGAGTCATTGGCACAGACAAATTTAAAAGCAGTCATTAGACTTACAACCTTGGCTGCAGCGCATCTTATTAAAACTAAAGGAAATATAATAAATATATCCAGTGTGGGAGGAAAAAAAGTGATATCCCCTGAATTTGGGCCTTATGGGCTATCTAAAGCTGGCTTAAATTTTTTCTCTCACACCGCGGCTTTGGAACTAGCTCCTCACGGTGTTAGAGTAAACACTATCAGCCCAGGACCAGTGTATACTGATATATGGGAAAACTCAAAAGAAGATCTTAGTGTTTTAAAAAAAGTTAATTTTAAAGTACCACTTGACAGAATATCAGTATCTGAAGAAATTGCAAACTTGATATTGTACGTGGCGAGTGACAAAGCTGTGTCTGTTACAGGCTCTAATTATGTCGCTGATAATGGTTTTTTGCTATGAGATTAGATTTATAGCAATAGTAATGTAAAAAATAAAACTTGAAAGTATTTTAGTATAGATTTCCCATTTATACAATTCTTTTATATAAAATTTTCTTAAGTTACACTGTGTTTGAGGATTTACTGGTTTTGGGATATTTTAAAGACTATTATTATGCATCATTTATTTCAGTAAAAATATTTCAAATAAATATTTGTCGTGTCCAGTAAGTAGGGTGGCGCAAAAAACAGAATTTTTTTGCGCTTAACTTTTTAAAGGTTTTTTGCACCACCATAATGTCCCGGCTAATATAATGTAATTTATGTTTATTCTTTTATAGTTCTTATAATTTTAATTAAATATTAATTTTATTATTTGAGTTTCTTTCGCCAGTTCTTCTAAAGATTGAGGATTTTTTAATTCCGAAGTAGTAGACTCGTGACGTTCAGTAAGAAATTGTTTAATTTAACACTGTATAAAATATTTTGAATTTGAATTTGAATAATAAATTTATTTTTTAATTTAACTGCAGCTCTATTCTATATGAAATTGGCAAAGAAATAATAATGGAGTAACAAATTTCTACATAAAAGTAGCGACTTACCCAGACTTCGCCCAGCTGTAAAGTAAAATACAGTATTACATACATACAATTTGGTTCTGACTAGTATTGTTTAATCATAACCCAAGACTTTCCATGTTCCATTTCCGCAAAGACAAGTACTATTTGTATTATAAATTACACCATTCAAAATCATTATCTATTAAAGATAAATAAAATTGAAGCGTCTGTTTGTAATGTCAAAATAACAACTTTTTACTAAATGCATACGAAATTACATACGTACCACACCTTTTTCATAAAGAAAAGTCAAAAAAATAAATTTTTACAAACATTCGACTACTTATACGCATCATATGTATAAAAGTAAAGACCTGTATTGCCTAACAACTGTCAAAGTGATGTTGCTTTGAGCTCTGTACTCGAAATTAAAAAAAAATACAGTAGTTAGCTAAGAACTTACATATTTAAGCGTTCGTCTTTGTGTGTCTTGTCCGCTAATGAACGGACCTGTTTTCTTTTGAGACAAAGGCGTACAGCGAAATATGTGAATGCACGTAAAATCCACTACCATTTGACATTTATAGTTTAAAAATAATAATTATATGTTAAATTATGCTAGAATTATTAAAAAATATATTTTTCTTAATTAAAAGAATAAGTGCAATGTATGAAATGTGGTTGGTAAATGCTTTCACAAAGAAAAAAATGATTTAACTAATTTTAAATGTCATAACACGTCTTCCAATAAGATTTTTGTTTAAGCTTTTAAGTTGAGAAAAATAGGGTCTTGATTCAACTTTTATGTGTACGAAACCCTTAAAAAAGAAAGATTGTCTTAAGTTACTGTCGAAATCCTAAAATTAGTATCTCTTCACAGAAAATACTGTTTGAACAAAATCGCTTTATTGGCTCTCAGGTCCCTTAGCGGAGATAATTGTATACAAATATTGAACATCGATGCAAGGGATGCTATGCTCGGATGAATCTTTTATAGATTACAAAGTTGTTTTAGGTCTTTATTTAAAAAGATAGGTATTTTTAGTAAATAACGTCAATATTAATCAATGAATTGATAACATGTATCTTAAATTTTTCACATTTCAGGACTTCTGGAAGACATCTCTTTGTTATATCCATATCCATACTAATATTATAAATGTGAAAGTGTGTTTGTTTGTTTGTCCTTCTTTCACGTCGAAACGGAGCGATGGATTGGCGTGATTTTTTTGTGTGGAGATAGTTGGAGGGCTGGAGAGTGACATAAGCTACTTTTTACCGCGGAAGATTATCTAATTCCTACAATAAAAGACGTTATAATACATAAAAAAAATTATGATCGTAATTACTTGAAACTTGGTTTTAATGCTCTTCAATAAAATTCAATAAATATGTGTTTTTGCTTTTTTCGAAATTCATCCTATAAGGGGGTAAAATAGGGGAAAAAAGTTGTATGAAACTACCTTTTTAGAGATTTTTTGGTAGTTTTAGCGCGAGCAAAGTCGCGGATTCTGCTAATTTAACATAATTTAGTACCTATAAATATATAAAGTAATTAAAATACTTTAAAGTAAAGAAAAATGTACATATAATTTAGCTTCGATTACCTTCAGAAATACGACAAAAATACGTACAACTTTTAATGACAATATGAAGGCCATTATATACTTATCTATACATATAACAAAATTCTGAGTCGAATTGTATATCAAATATTTTATGGAAAATTTTATTGAAATAGTCATTATTATCGATAAAGAGGCCGAATCCATAGTTTTTAGTATTTTTGTCTGTCTCTCTGTCTGTCTGTCTGGAAACGCATCACGAGAAAACCACTGGATTTTAATGAAATTTGGTATAATGATAGCTGGTTATCCGGGTCAACAATATAGGATACTTTTTACTGCGGGAAAATATCTCATCTCTGAAAAATCTATTCTAAACCTTAAAACGTACGTAGAGACGTATCCGAACAAGTCGCTACTCAAAATATATAAATAGACAAAGACAAAACAGTTTAGTACCTTTTTTTTCTGTTTATTAACCTGTTTTTTTTTTGTTTTTTGTTTAGTAGCTATTGACGAGCTAAAGTGTTATCAGTATAAATAAATTGGAAACATTCGTTTTTTTATAGATGGGTAAATTGTATTCATATATATTTTCCTCAAATCCATAATTAATTATTTTCGATTTTCGACCATTGCACGAACGCTAGTAGCTATTCACTAAGCCATGATTTACAATGTACATGTATCTAAATGTTTTGGAAAAGAATTATTTATTTAGATTTTAGATTATCAATTTATCAACTCATTAAATGCTTAATATGATAAACATTATCTGCAAATAATATATAAGATAAAGCCATCATTATACAGTCAATGGTAAAATTACATATCAATATTATTGTAGTTAATACTAAATAGTACTTAGTATTTTTTTACATTTACTCTCTTCGGACTCTATATAGTAAAAAATAGTCTTACTGCCTCGGTGGTGTAGTGGCTAGCATATACGGCTGCACACCCGAAGGTCAGGACCTCGACCTCGGTTCGAGTCCCGGGTCGGACCAGGTTTGGTTATTGAGTATTTCTGTATAGTAAGCCTCAGTACAAGCCCGGAGTTGGGAAGTTGGCGGTATTTCACCCCCGTGTCTCGGAGAGTACATACAGCCGTCGGTCCTGCGCCTTAACTCTCACTGGTCGTGTCGAGTGTTCGTCCCACTGAAGTATGAGAGTGACAGAAATAGAGAGTGCACGTTGTGTCTGCGCGTACACTTGTGCACTATAATATCTCCTGCGCAGTTGGCTAGTCTCAATGAGATTGGCCGCCGTGGCCGGAATCGGTCAGGAGAACATCATAATCAAAAAAGTGTCTATAAAATATATATTTTTTATCTAATGAACTTAATAATAAACCACCTTGACCCCCTAACTTTACATAAATTATACAATTTATATAAAGATACTAGCAGAACCCGCGGCTTCGCTCGCGCTAATACTGCAATAAAAACTCTTCGGCTTTATGCTATTAGCATGTAGTATGTAATGTATGGAAGTGTGCCCGATGTGTTGACATTTATGACAGGAAATGTATTTATTTAGTACCAATTCTTATATGTATACACTATACAGTGAAACCATGGCTAGGATAATACTGTAAAAGTATATCCTGCCTTGCAGATATCAAATCTTTTATGATTACTGCACCACACCCGTATGATGTAATATAGCCTATAGCATTCCTCAATAAACGACTATTTAATGCAAAAATTTATTATAAAAATTTAAAATCAATCAGCTATCTGCCAGTGACAGTCCCGTCAAAATCAATCCAGCCATTTCAGAAATTATACGGAATAAACAGACAGGCACACAGACAGACAATTGTTTTTTTTATTTGTGTTTTTCTTATAAGTATTATACCTATAACTTATGCATTTAGTAAAAAAAACTATTATTTTGACATTACAAACAGATACTACAACTCTATTTATTTGTATAAAGTATACATTAAAAGTCTCGTAGACCGTACTACGTGAAAGTACAAACAAACACTTTACGCATTTATAATATTAATAAAGATAATTAAGCAGCACCATTGCTTTATTTAGTTAAGTAAACATTAATTCGGGAAAGTTGTGTTTACGATTTCGCGCGGTTCTGCAGATACCGGTACATTATGAGCGCGCTGGATACGCCCGAGAGCTATCGAAATGATAAGAATTTATATAAAAGACACAGTATGCACGGTAATTATGTTATTACGTGTTCAACCTAAGAAAACGGGTTCGATTTCTACTAATTAAATCGATTTTTTTTTATATGGATAGCAGTTACTTCCCGCCCTTGTATTACTGTTGCGTATTCACAAGTAACTCATTTCCTTGAAAGATACTATTATTCTATGAAAACTCGGTACAATATATGCCGAGATAAAAACTAAATAGAGTAAAATCAACACTATCTGTGCGTACGCTTCACTTGGATGCATCCATAATTTTCTTTTGTATCTATAATATTATATAGGTACAGGCAGACCTTTGTACAAATCCAGCCATTCTAGCTTGAAGGAGTAACAAACAAACACACATACAAACTTTCGCATTTAAGTATAATATAGAGTCTGATTAGTAATATTTTTCATTGCATCTGAGAATACGAGCATGTGTTAAAACTCAATTCCATAGTGTTCTACACTATTCCAGTTAAGTTTTTCGCAAGCCGTATTTACGGTCCGCGCAGACTCCAACAGATACCGCTAGTTTATCGAGTTGGAAACTCGCCCGCTGCTATCAATTTGATAAACACTTGTTAAATTATATTCTTTTCTACTTTGTATTTTTATTCTTACACTAGTTTCTGCGAGTGACTTCGCTCGCGTATTACAATTTCGAAAATTTGTACGTGCGTAGGTTTGTTACTTTTTCACGCAGAAACGGCTGGGCAGTTTTTGA